AGACCCTTCACTATTTTGGTGGCCCTCCTCTGGATATGCTCCAGTTTTTCAACATCCTTTTTGAAATTGTGGTGCCCAAAACTGGACACAGTGTTATTCCAGGTGAGGCCTGACAAAAGCAGAATAGAGTGGGACTACAAATTCCCTTGATCTAGACACCGTATTTCTATTGATGCAGCCTAGAATCGCATTGGTGCTTTTAGCTGCCACATCACACTGTTGGCTCATGTTCAACTTGTGCTCTACTAGGACTCCTAGATCCCATTCATGCATACTCTTGCTAAGTCTGGTGTCTCCCATCTTATATCTATGCATTTCATTTTTTACTGCCCTAAGTGCAGTATCTTACATTTCTCTGTGTTGAAATTCGTTTTGTTAGTTTTGGCCCAGCTTTCTAACTCATTAAGGTCATTTTAAATTCTGATACTCTCGTCTGGAATATTAGCTACTCTCCCTAATTTGGTCTCATCTGCAAATCTGATAAGCATGCCCCCTATTCTTTTATTCAAGTCGTTGATAAAGATGTCGAATAGCCCTGGGCTCAGGACTGAACCCCACTGGACACCCCACTGGTCACTGCTCTCCAGGATGAAGCACAGCATAATTCCTGATCCAGAACTACTACACTATCCTGATCGATGCAGGATTACAGCCTTTGCATTGCCTTCTGAAAAGGTTCCTTTCCCAGGCTCTGCCCTGGATGTGCATCCAAACCGGACCAAAAGTGGCTTGGCTCTTCCTCCCAAAGTAGACGACCACAGCTGTTTCTCCAATGAATGCCTTCCCCATGGAACTGCTGCTGCTCCCAAGAACCACCACCGATCTAGGCGTCCCCCTCCCTTTGCGCGCGCCATCATCAGTATTCCCCACCTCATCCGTCTCCCCTCCTGCCGTCTTCCATCTCATGGATAACATGACAGGCCAGGAGCAGAACACTAAAAAGGAGAGGTCTGGATTAACCAGAAATGATCAGCCGTCTCTGCTCCCGGAGCAAAATGCGGTTTCACATCAGTTCCCTTTCACATTGCCAGAGTCTTCCTAGGAAGTGGAAAATCACATGAACATGATGAGTCAGAGGAGTCCATGGGCAGGATCCTCATTGCACCAAACGGACGTGGGTGCGAATCCACAGGGGCCAGAAGGGAAAATTCCTGGAAGGCTGGCACATTTTCCTCTTATGCCACGGCTAGATTGTTGCAGAGCCTTGGCATCAAACATTCATACTGACATCAAGGCAAGCTTAGGCAAGTATTTGGTCTCTCTTGCAAAGTAACAGCTTCTGGCCCTTGATTTACTTCCCCATCCCAAACACTGGGGCCAGAGGTGGAGGTAGTGAAGATGATGATGATGATGATCCTCCCATTTCCCTTGTCTGCAACTCAAGGCGGCTTATAACAGGTAAAAGAATCATAGAATCCTAGAATTGGAAGAGACCCCAAGGGCCATCCAGTCCAACCCCCTTTTTTCTGCCATGCAGGAAGACACCATCAAAGCACTCTCTGTGGAAGATGGGCATCCAGCCTCTGTTTAAAAACCTCCAAAGAAGGAGCCTTCCTTCACCACACTCCCAG